CAACTTCCCCCACATAATCCAAACCACAGCCATGCAAAAGTTTCAACTTCCCCATCAAAGCTCGCAAATACAGTGATGCACAGGTCTTCCCCAACACTCCTTCAAACCACAGCCAGCTATTTCAGGATCACAGAAATGTCTGAAGAAAAACTGTTTTGAATCTACTACCACAGGGACGTGTTACCCGTAAGGCACACAAGGTCACAGTTTACATCACTAAAGCAGAAGGGAACTCAACTCGCATAGTCAGCAAAGTGCTGCAAACAGAATGATATGCATTTGTGGCGGAGGTGGGGGCACAACATGGGAATCCTAGCAGGTTAGCATAAACTTAACTTTCAAAATAAGAGTGAAGGGACTGTCCACAAATGTAAAAGAATAAAAAAAAAAAAAAAAATATGAGTCAGAAAATATACCAGGGGTCTGTTAATTTACTTGGGCAGGCCACCCAATCAACTCTATGTGTGGTAAATGCCATGATAAACCATCATCCTTCCCTTTTTCTAAAAACCTCAAGTAGGGTTCCACCGCTGGCGTTATGTTTGCGAGTGGGCAACAAATAAGAGCCAATATTGGCCTATACCAGATATATCAATATCAGTAAACTTGCCGTTTTGGGCAATTTTGAAATCTTATTGATTTACATACAGACAAGCGATGTGTTTTGGGTCTTCTTGTAAGAAAAAGAGCTAACCTTTCGCCTTTAAAATTCAGACCCCGTTTTGTTGCTGACTGCTTGAGGGCTTTTGGGTTGTTGTTTTTTTTGTTTGTTTTTAAAAATCGCTCATATTTTCTTGGCCTGCTTTGCTTTAAAATTCAGAAGAGACATTTATATTTATATTTATATACGGCCTATGTGAATATATGTTACACGTGTTTAGAGCAGCTCATATACATCTCCATACCTACTTTTCCTGCCTTATCAGCACTGGTTTAAAAAAAAAAAAAAAAAAACCCCACCAAAGGCTACGTTCACACTGCAGGCGAAAGCGCATCAAATCCGACTTTTTGACCCTATGGGACCCATATCTGATCATGGTATAATAGTTTGAACAGCACAAATCTGATATTTTCAAATCCGACCTAGGTCACTTTCGTATGTGGTACTGAATCCGATACATATCTGATGTTTTAGAAAGTGACTGCTGCTTGAATGGTCGTGTCACATTACATCTGTCTTTTAAGTCACTGACACAAGACAGACGCCAATTATCGGCGCCGGAGAAGTGCCCGAACACTTCCTGACCATCTAGTGTAGATGTTAGTGAAACTGTTGGGAAGACAACATTGGAGAAACGTTGTTTTATTTGTACTGTATAATCTGCAGATTCTGACAGAAATCTGCAACTATCCTTTGAAGCACCGCTCCTCTCTAAAACAGCAATAGGGATAATTATTAGGCCATATGTAAATAACAAAATAACTTTATAATTTAAAGCAAAATTAGGAAACATAAAGTCCGAAACAAGTCTTTATATTTAGGGCCATCAGTCAAACAATACTGTTTGGTCTGGGTCTAAACAGAGCGTGTTGTGTGTGACGTCTTCTTTTGCGCATGCGGGCCGCTTGAGGGTTCACACTAGAGCACGTTTTCTGTCACATTTTATTTGTAGTGTGAACAACCAGACTAAAAAAAAATCGGATTTGATAAAAAAATCGGAATTGAGTATTAAACTAAACTACGCTTCAAATTTGATAAATGTCGTCATTAATTCCCTCTGACTTTTGCTATTTGGCTTCCACCACGATAAAAATCTCTCTCTGTACTTCAAGAACAGCTTCCCATCTCAAATCTCTGTTTTCGGCATTATTCATTTGCTTATTACCCACCTCGTACCAGAAAGCCTAATTTCTGATGTTCAATACTGAAGAGAGACATTTTTTTATAATTATGTAATATTGCAGAATATTTTAAAGGTTATCTGCTATAAAAATCCAGGCCAGGAAAATCTCCTTCATGTTTTTCTGTTTTATTCTCAGTTACTTTGACACAAAGGCATCTGCTTTAATGCTCACGCCTCTGATAAAGTCTCACATGTATCAGTACTGATAAATGATCAGAATTATAATATTTCTGTCTGAGGCAAAACTGATTAGCCATACAAATCCATAGCATGCGTTCATGTTACAGGAGTTCCTCTACAACGTACAGCAAAGCCATAGCTGATAGACTAGAGACACTTCAGTTTTTTTAAAAATAAAACTGGGGCTCGCAACATTTTATTAATCATGTTATGTTTGATATGCTGTTTTAACGAGGGCCCCAATACAACACGTCAACCTCACCGGGACAGAAGAAAATACAGTTTAATGCTAAGAAGCTGCGCTAACCGGTTAGCATTAGCATCATCTCGCCGCATACCCCTCACTCCTATTCGGATACTGACCGAGGTACAGCACGGTTGGAATAAAACCCCATCGGATGACAAACTGGCCGCACTGGAACAGCTGCTGCAGCCGCTGTTTGCTCTCTTTGCTCAGTTTAGCCATGTTATGATCCCGAACAGACAGTCTCGTGCTGCTTCCAAGGGCAGGAAAAAGGAAGTGACGTTGAAGAGCTAAACACTTACCTTCTCCAGCTGTCATAGGACGCCTCCTTGTGGATGGGCGTGTGGCGGCGGCTGGTTGGAGTTTACATGCTAAACTGCCACACTTTAACTTTAGAAACAGATAGCATGTTCTCGATGAGATGATTTTACTGATTATGCCAGTTTTCTTTACGCGGATTTGGCTTTAATTAAAGCCAAAACTTTATTAAGTCGATAAGACCGTTTAACTAACATTAGGCCCTCCCAGAGTCAATAGGTTGGAGCAATGTTCTTCTCCACTGTGGATGTAGACAACCATAAAGATCAGCAGAAAGCAAATCACATCACACACATGGTTTAAACTTATATACTGTACCTATGGAGCAGTTTTGCTAGAAAAAAATGGGAGCAGTTATTTATTGACAGATGCACAAAATCCTAAAGACACACTGAAATACAGTAAGACAGGCAAACAGAGCTTGAAAGTCAATATCTTGTACTAGGACCTTTATTCTTTAACACAGCCTAGACACTGAGGCAAGCTTACTTGTCCTTTCTTGAAGTAGTCTTAAGGATTCTTGAAGAACATTCAAAGCTCTTCTCCAGATGTTGGCTACATTTTGTTCTGCTCGCTGTCAAAATGATCCCACACTGCTTTAGTAATCCATCACTGGCAGCATTGTGTTGTGTCTTTTTCTATTCAGGTATGTTTCCACTGCACTGGCAGTGTGTTTGGGGTCATCAGTATCTACTGATTTTCAGTCCCGTTCTTGTGTACCTCAGCATGCCTTCTCCCTGCATGGCTAGAGAGCTACTGCTCAAGATCACTTTAAAAATAAGAAGTGTGGGGTGACTCCAGACATGTCACAGTCCTGTATGTGCATGCTTTATATAAAAACTTGAAAGGGTTTCAGGTGACTTTATTAGTGTGATGTTTAGTGATGAGCAGAAAAACACACACAAGAGCAGAAAAGTGAAATATAGAAACACTTTATTCCCAGAAGTTGTAGCAGTGAGTTATTTTCAGACGTAGAAAGGCCAATATAACCGGTCTTGAGTACAACAGTATGATGTACAACAACAGCTTACCCGTTCACATTCTGTTAAACCACACACAGAAAAACATGATTATTGTCCCACCACGCTACAGACACACAGCTCTAGTATACAGACAGACTACAAGTTTGCTTGGGGGTCGAGCAGCATGAACGCTTGATTTAAGACATCAAAATTAGCTGATGGTTGGAGTTTTTATTTGTTTGCTGGTACAAGAGAATATCACCATGTCTTGTGCAGTGATGAACGACAAGAGGAGACACAGGAAACACGTCACTAAAGCACTACAAACAGCTGGAATGGTGAGTGGATCACAGGACGGGAAAGATGCCCTGTTGCTTCAGACGATCTTCCACAGTTAAGGTAGAGTCAGTGGAACTTCACTGTGAAGTACCAAATTCTTTAATCACTTTGGAACCTTTAAAAAAAGAGCAACAAAGCATTTTTCTCTTACAGGGAAAGACGATGTTTGAGAGTCAAAACTTTCTCATGAATAAGAAAATACCAGCGCTGAAAAAACAACTCATTTGTTCTTCCATGTGCAAAATTTAATACTTAAATCACACACGCACGCACACACAGCCATCATCCATTAAAAACCCAAATCCTCTTTGTCTTCGTTTTAAATTTTTGCCATCAAATACACAGCAGTTCAGGAAGGAGCGAGGGGGGTGGGGGGGTTGGTGGGGCAGGGGTAATATTGCTTCTCCATCTTTAATGAGAATACTGTGTGATTGTAAACATAAAGACCAGATTCTTATCATACTGGTTGATTTTTAATGTTTTAGTTGTAGGTTTTTTGTTTCTCTTTAGGACGAATAAAGCACAGGCATAACTTCTGATAAGTGCCAACAGAAGGAAGATTCAGTAAACAGCCCAAAATATATAAAAAAAAAAACAAACCAAAAAAAACCCCACTGAATAGAACAGTTTTGTATTGCTATGGGAAGGAATCCATTATTATAATCATTATTTTTTTTTATAAAAGTAGTAGAAACAGTGTTCCAACTAGGAGAATCAACTATTTCACTTCATCAATCAGCAGCCTTTTTATCTAAAAACAGCTGTACGTACAGATAAAGTCAACGCACACACACTCACTCACAAACATGCTCGCGCACTCAACATGTGCCCTTTAACAAACCTGGGCGGTAAGGATGGATGTATGGAAAAGCCATGCAGAGGGCAACAAATACAGATTAGATCACTTTTGAAGTACTTTTCCACATAGTTTCTTAGTGATTTTGAATTTTAAGCACGCTCGTTTACGACCACAGTTATGTCCAGGTCATGAGCGCACTGCTAAAAGTCAGACAGAGCTGTAAGCGGCGTCCTCGTGCCTCTGACTGCGCTCGGCATTTCACAGCACAGAGTTAAAGACACC